GTGAAGAAATAAACACATGACTTACTGTCACTACTACTACACAAGGCAACACAGGGACTGGCATTACCTCTTTCTAGAACTGCTGCCCCCATTGCATGGTGACTTATCAAAACCTATATTATCATTTGAACTGTACATTCAAATAATCATCCAAACTACACACAAGCAGCCCTGTACTTCTTCGGGGTTCTGTGGAAACTGGTACCTAAGAAGGAGGAATATGCAATTGTTATTTATCTTTAAAAACTTGAACGCTGGACTGACTTCATGCACTACAGCGCACCAAACTGGCACTCGTGTTATTTGCTTTCCATTTCCAGAAGGGAAAGAATAAACCAACAGAAGTGTAAGAAGAACTGGTTTATTGTTTTTCTGGCAGTTCCCCAAACAAGTTCAAAAGTGAAAGACATCATCTTTGAGCTTCTTTTGAAATTAAACATTATTTCAAATTTCATGGGGGGTGGGGGGGCGGGGAGGTTGCTGTTTGGTTGTGGTTTTTAAATGACAAACACAAATGTTCTGATGCTTTAATTTTTTTTCTTCTGTTTTTTATCCTGGTTTCCTTTAACAATTTGTGGGTCCATTGATCAATCTCTGCCTATTACTCTTATTACTCTCTTACTAAAATCTGTGCTATACAGAATTTCACTTAATTCAGGTCTCAATTTACCATCAGTATTCCTTATTTCACTCACTCATACCCTCACTTTTTCTATTAAAGCCACATATTTCCAAATTTTTTTCACTCAGGGCTTACCAAGCAATATGAAATTACTAAAGGCATAGGTTTACTGATAGCAAAAGTCATACTTACTACCAAATATCATATTAACAGTTGTAACTAAAGTAAGGATTTCATCCTGATTACAAGCTTTATCACACATTATTTTCAGAATTACAAAACTTTGGCAGCAGCACCAGCTAGTACTTCCCTTTTGTTTACTCCACTTACAAATTACATATCTTCTTATATTTTCACGTGGTTTTTCTCTACATGTGTAACTTCCCCCAAGCTCTAAGAGATCTATTCCTTCCTCCTACTGAAGTTTAAAAGAATGACACAAACTATTTTTTTAAAATAGCAATTTTCTCTGCCATAAGCAAAGCCAGCCTTTGTTGAAGAAGTTAAACTCTCAATCATCTTACCATGGTATTGTAAACACATCCTCTGAACTACTGTCACTTCAAACACACACATAGGTCTGTAGCAAATAGAAGACAGCCTGACTTACCTTAGCCCACAATGAATTTGACTATAGACTATTTGTGTAACCTAGTCTAGTACTGGACCTCTCTCACAGCAAACAAAACAGACCTAAGATTGCAAAGATTAACCTTTGTGCATTTTCCCCAAAGAAAAACAGTTACGATAACCTGTGAAGCAGAATTATAACATGTAGTTCAAGCAGTTACCACCCCCTAGCAATATGCATTAACCACCCATTTGAACTCTTAAACTTGTCTTCTTATGCTCTAAAGTATTAAGGCACAGTTTTCATTAATCTCTTTTGTGCTTCATATCCAGTCTACCTTCAGAGTCACTTTAAGTCCATCCTTCACAAATTTTACTTTGCATTTAACAGACCTACAGAGGCAGCCAGCTTATCCTGCTAAGGAACCAAACTACTTAGCTCAAAAAATACAACCACAAGGGCTTATGTAATGTCCAAATAAAATATATTATGCACTCAATATCCAGGATCCAGCTCTCCCAACATCCCTGCAAACATAATTTGGTATTAACTATTAATTTTAGTTAACCAGTTATAGCCTGTAAGTTAGCATCACCATAGAAAACTAAAAAGGAGTACAAGACATCAAATTACTAAAGATGATAAAACTATTTCTAAAAGAACTTCGGTAATTAACTCCAAGGATACTATATAGCATAATGTGCATGTTCAATGTATTTTCTTATTTTTCTTTTAAATAATTCTGAAGTCTTTTACAAGTACAGTAGTACAAAGGGCTTGCCCTAATAAACATATCCTTCTTTTCAAAATGTCCATATTGCTGAAGTTTTTATCCAGACTCTCCCATCCTTCTTGCCTATTTGTCACCTTAAAGTCTCATCCAGCAATCCCTCCACTCGAGGTAATACACAAAGCTTCATTTTCCGACTTCTCCCCTTAAATCTTTAATTAAGCTAAAGTCATGCTCTTCTTATTTTTCTACTACCTTTCTTTTCTGAGCCAACTAGTTTCACTCACGAGCCCCCTTTCATGGCCTTCTCTTATTCTAGCACTTCATCCTGTACTAAGAATTCAGCTCTGCCTCAAATAGGCCTCTTCCATTACTCACCTGTTAAGTTTTCAAACCTTTTTATTGTTTTCTCAGGTCCCCTGCTACTAACAGCAGGGCTGCCTCTAGCCTTCTGCAGGACTACTATTATTGCCCTTTAAAACTCCTCTACATCATGATCCTGAAAAAAAATTTGAGCAAGGTATGCTAATGCCAGAGCTTCCCGTGCCGTCTAGTCTTGTATCTCCTCTGTCTCTCTTGTAATCTACTCTGACCTTCTGCCTTATATTTAAGAGCAACTTCTTTCAAGTGGAGGCTGATTTCAGGTTCTGTTGATGCTCATGCACTAGTATACCATTACAGCCCCTAAAATTCCGTTAGTGTAAGTAAAAACCAACAGACTACAACTGCACTTATTTTTAAAAGCAACGCAACCTTGCAGTAAAGGTGGCTAATGGTATCCCAGGCTGCATTAGGAGAAGTGCTGCCAGCAGGTCAAGGGAGGTGATACTTCCCCTCTGCTCAGCACTGGTGCAGCCACACCTGGAGTGCTGGGTCCACTTCTCAGCTCCTCAGTACAAGGGAGACCTGGGCACACTGCAGCGAGTCTGATGCAGCGCCATGAAGAGGATTAAAGGATTGGAGCATCTCTCCCATGAGGAGAGATTGAGAGCTGGGAGGGCTCAGCCTCTTCAGGCTCATGGGGGACCTCATCAGTATGTACAGATAATCTGAAGGAAAGGTGCAAAGAGGATGGATCAAAGTCAATGGACACACACAGAGAAACACAAGCGGTTCCCTCTGAACATCAGAAAACACTTACTATGAGGGTGACTGAGCATTGGCACAAGCTGCCCAAGGAGGTTGTGGAGTTTTCCTCCTTGGAGATACTCAAAAGCTATCTGGACAGAGTCCTGTGCAACCAGCCCAGGGGGTTTAAGGCAGATGACCTCCAGGGGTCCCTCCCAACCTCAGTCATTCTGCGCTTTTGCTCTTTCAGCCCTGCTAACCAAAGATACTTCTGTTATTTTCAGATTTGAGGCACCTATCTTTTACACTTAGTGACAAGCAGCATCTCATTGTCTTTTTAACTCATAACCTCTTCCCTGACTGCACCTCAAAAATACATGGTGAAACTCCCATCTACTGCAATGGCAACACAAATAACAGATTCCTGCCCCAATCCTGGATTTGAGTTTCCCTTATAATAAACACCGAATAAGGGGGCAGAGAAGGGGCAGAAGTGCAGTGTTACATTGTGACTTTTGTACTCACGCAAGAAGCATGAGGAGTTGCTACATGCTTCAGTTGAGATGGACCAAACTTGTGTTGTACCCTTCCACCCAGTAGTAGGAGAGGGAAGGTGTACACCACATACTGAGCTGGCATGGTTTGTTTCATCCCTCCCTGGCAATCTTATTCCCCATCTAAACCTCAGACTAAGTAATTAGATGCCATATCTAATTTTGGGTTAATGCAAGACATCAACAACACCCAAATGTTTGAGGTCTACAGTTCCAAAGGCAATAGTAGGGAGGAAAGCATGCTAGCAAAAACATTAGGTTTTTATGTTGGTAGTAATATAAAGAGTCTCTTCAAAGATAACTATGCAATATATCAAGTCAAAAACATCAACGCTGCATGTCAAGTCACACATAGGCAATGTTTCCTAATGTAAAAAAATAAATAAAAAAATAATAAAAAAAAAATCCCAACCTTCTCTGCCTGTTTTATGACAACGCAAATACAGTCCAGAACAAACTATCTTTATAAGCACAAGCTATCAGTACTCTTAGAACAGAAAACATCCAGCAAACAAAAGACCATACTGTCTGTCAAGATACAAAACACTCCATAGAATCTGCCTGAAAAGTATTCCTATATATAGATCATCACCTACCACTCTGTAACACATAACAAGGATTCTACAGTTTGGGATAGGGCAGACTGCATTACTGCATTGCTCTTCTCTGTTTGCTCAGAGATGTAAGATTTCCACTAACATTCCAGTCTCCATCTTCTCTGTGTGTTATTCCTGCATGACCTTGGCTCTCATTGCATGTGTGCCAACACACTCCTTCGAAGCACATACTGCTTGTGCATTGCACAAGACTGCCCTAAAATAAATCAGTAGGGAGAGTAATAATGTCAGGACTTATTCCCAACATTGCCAAACAATTCTAAATGCAACCTGTCCATCACACAACCAGCTTCTCTCTTCAAACATACGCTGACATCATGTGACGAATGAAATGCTGTCACCATTTTCACTTCAGAGGTGCAACTTGATCCAAACCATATTGTAATCCACTATTTACTGTGCTTCATAACTAACTATTCTGTGTAATGAAAAAAAAAAAAAAAAAAAAAATTAAAAAGGGGGCCAAGTGCCCTGAACTGAAGTGAAAATTAAACCACTTGTCTAGAAACCCATACATGAAAGTGGAACCTTAAAAACAAAAAAAACCCAAAACTGTTATGTTAGTCTGAAAAGCTGAAGTTGACGTGGCTTCTTTTCCCACCTCCTAGAAAAACTTTATTAAAAAGGACATCTCATGGAATAGCCCTGATCTGGCTCATGCAGGATTACTCACAGCAGCATTTCTCATCATAAATAAGCACGGAATACTCAGTCCTCATAGGCTAAAAACAGGTAGAAACCTGGTAAAGAAAAGTTATTTGAACACAAGTACAGGAATTAGAGGAAAAACAGCAAATTTATAAAGTACAGGTAATTGTAGGAAAAAAAAGGTACACACTGAATTTTCTTCCTCCTCTTCTAGTTCTCTCTGCTGTTCCTCATGTCGCTTCGCCTTTATCTCCATTGCTTCAGTGATAAGGTCCCTTAAAATTGAAACTGGTTTTGCATTCTTAATAAATGTATGCTAGGGGAAAAAAAAAAAATCATTAAATTATATAAACATCACTAGAGTAGTTACACTTCAGATGTAATTACAAGTATTATTCAACACCACAGATTTCAGTGATAAATAGTATTTTACATTACACAATAATTAAAATCTGCACTAACACAACACACCTTTTAGCTGCTTCATAACTAAGACTTTAAGTATTTTTAAAGCGTTGGGAAATTTAATCATAACTGTTTCCTAGTTAAGGATATAATTGTCCAAATGAAACATGCAGTAAGCAGTAAATAAATAAGAGTGGTGATTGTCCGACATAGAAAAACAAACTTTTTTGGATATTCAGTTACAGAATTTAATTAATCTTAAACTGACAGCATAAATTAGTGGCTGTAAGCAGAGCAACTATGGCTGCCTACTTCAACAAATCTGTACTTTATATGTCATAAAACATTTCTTGATCTATGATACTAAAATATGGAACAAGCAAAAAAACCCATTACTTTTTATTAGGAAGATTAATTTTTAATTCAAGGCCATTTAAAATATCACTTCTTCCTTTAAAACAACATGTGCACAATATAATTTACATTAAGTTTGCTCTCTAGTAAACACCTGCTGTTAGAAAAATTCTGATTTTTGCATCATTATATGCAAATACAATTTAGGCAAAAAGTAACTCTAAGCACCTCATAAATGTATTATTAAATATTAAAAAAATTGTTCCACGAAGAACAGAACTGATGAAGCCTAGTGTCCTACACCTATTATTACCATCTGCTTTGATATACTAATACAATTACTCTCCTTTCACCTCCACGATCTTTCCCCACAAGCAGTACTTTCATTCCCACTCACACACACCCACAGCACTTCCGGCTCCATCACACATGTTCCAAACTCCAGCTGGGGGAAAAGGCAACACACACTAGGGCTGGACACAGTATTTGTTTTTCTGGCCAATAAGCGTGTGGAAAGAGGAACACTGAAGCTTCCCCTCCCCTCTCCTCCTCTTCTCCTTACTTGCACATATTAATGCAAGTTGTCTATCCAGCTGCTGGTCTTCAGTTAACTGTACTGAAGTATGGTTAACAGAACTTCAGATCTTTAAGGTCTCAAGTACTGATTCATACACCAAACAAAAATTTGTAACTTTCAATTTTTACTCTCCTGGCAGTCTACATTTTTGTGTCCTCACAGTGCAGAAAACAACAGTACTTATTTTGACGATTTAATACTGGAAACTACTTTGCAAAATTTTTATGTTCTCCTTGTCGTGGTGTTCACTGGATTTAAAATTTTAGAAGATGCTATTGCTAGCTACAGACAGAATAAATTTAGTATCGGTGTCTAACAGATGAAATTTCATAAGATCAGATTCTTATGTGGAGTAACAAACAAAGAAAATTACGAATAACATCTACCAGCAGCAGCTAAAAGTGTAAAAGAACACCAGACTATCCAAAAGTTTAATGAACTAGGAATCAGGAAAATAAAAGGAGCAAAGGATCTAGCAAAATTTTTCACTCGTCTCATTATCAAAGCAAGCCTATTCATAGGAAATTCTAGGTTCCATTTCAATCATCATAGAATATATTACAATTTTTCTAGAACCCCCCCGACATACACACCTCTCACTACCTTTTTTGTTTGCTTTTCCTTAGTTATTTGTAGGCTTATTTTGACAGCCCTGAAGGCAGTGAATAACACAAATACAGGAACAAATGAGAAAACTTTCTTTGCATTTTTTCTCTCTCCCATGCTCTAAAATGTGTGGTCCCCGTAAAACTACGTCCATTTCACAAAGTCTAAATCTTTCCTGATAGATCAGTCCCTCCTGTTTAATCTTCATAGCTCTTTGGAATCTCTCTGCTTTATTTCTATCTCAGTACCAAAAAGATGCAACTGTTAAATTTCTGCAGCTACCAGGAGCTCAGCTCAGGGCGTGGGCAAAAGCCTGGCACACTCTGCCCTGGCTCCAGAGGTCCATACCACCAACTGTGGCTCCAATTTAAAAGCACCCACTTGGCTATAACTCAGCTGAAGAACAAACTCCTTATACTGTCCATCTGCATCAGAGCCTTCTGAGACACAGAGCAACCTGTCTGCTTAATTTCACATGACTAGAAGGGCAAACTGAATATACTCCTTGGGTGGTCCACACTGAGGGGTAACCTGGGCTCAATTCCTTTACTTAACACTTGCCTAAATCCTGAGATCTATTGAAGGCCTCTAACCACAAAGCAAGGATCCAATTTTAATAGCAAGAACCAGTCCTAAACTATATAAAGAGCAATTAATTTTTAGAAGCAGCAAAGGAGAAATAAAACAAGGGTAGAGATACAGGAGCTGACAGAGAAAAGACCACAAAAAGGAAAAGAAATAAGGCATGATAATAGTTAAAATGAGATTTGCCCTTAGAAATTTTCACAACAGTTCTGATTTGAGACTAGAGGAAGAAAGCCATAAAACTTGCATTTCCTCAGTAACTTAAATACTGACCTGTAGCAGCTGTGTTGCTGTAGCTCTTTGTTCAGGATTTTTCACTAAGCATTTCTTCACAAAATCTGTGAATTCATCAGACCAGAGCTCTGGCTTCCGGAAGGTTGGAGGGGGATTTGTAGGAATCATAAAAATAGCCTAGATAAAAATCAAACAACAATAGCAAGTTTAAACAAAACACATCATCCCAGCACTGAAGCCAAGTAAATAAATTGCTTTATCCACCTTTCTTATCAGGCTAAGAATCTGGAAGACAAATTTTAAGTAAGCTAGGATTTCCACTCAGAACAAGATCCAGGAAGTAAATCCATCTGCTACTAATGTAGCTACTTCCCATTAGATTTTTTTCTTTTTAAACTGTACCCCATTGAGCCCATCAGTCATTATTTTATCTATTGCTGTTTATCTGCCTCAAGAGATTATTTTGTTCTTTCTGAAATTCCTAGTAGAAACGACAGCACTGCCTGTTTAAACAGACACATATAAAGTTACTGTGAAAAGTCAAGTTCACCTTCTCCTCTCTTAAACTGCATTTAGTTTTTTAGGAAAATTGCTTAGGAAATTTGGTAGGATTACTACATTCTTTTGCATCATACTTCTTCAGAAGTAATTTTAAAACTTACTTTTTACTATATATATACTTTTTACTATATATAAGATATAGAAACATATGCTAAAAGACCTAAGGCAACACTAAAAGATGACGAAGACAATCAAATAACTTGCATACTAGCAGTGAGAATTTACTTGAAATTGAAAAGGCAGCGTTTTACAGAAATTTCACACTGGCAAGAACCATATGCAGACAGATTTTTCAATTATGAAAAAAGAGTCATAGTATATTTAAAAAGTTTGTCCCACTTAAGGTTATATATATACTGTGCCATTTTATTTATTATTTTTTCCAGGTTTTCCTCTAATTATAGATTTAGATTTGCAGGGGGGGGAGGGGGTAAGCAGTAAAATTCTGAGAGACTACTGTAAAATTACTGGAAATTTTGAACTTCTGTATGTAATATCTCAAATTAGCATCATTGCTTAAAATCTACACATGACAGCAACACACTATTCAGAACTAAGTCTACTGACAGAAAATATGCTATTATTTTCTTCTAGAATCAGGTTCAATTCAACCATATTTTCCACAGTCAAAGGGAATAAGAGTTCTTCCTTTTGTTTTTCTATAAGCATAGGCAGAAACATGTACTCAGAAAAGCAGAAAAAAATGAAATGAGAGATATGCACACCATCAACATAGTAGAGGCACGAGAGGCTTCAGCTTGTGTTTGAAATATAGGGAGAAGTGAGAAGGAACTTCTTGAGATTTTATCCATAACTTTTTAAGAAGTCTGACTGCCCTTGAAAGTTGGTTTAACTTGTTCAAGCTCTCATTCTAAAATTCTTCTCATACACTGAAGAAAAGCAGAATCCATGCAAAAAACTGTTTAAAATATTTTTTCACTAAAATTATAGAAGTACTGCATAGTTTGCTTTAATTCAAATACTTAAACATTTACAAAAGTAATTTCATTATCTGCCTAATACAAGAATTACAAGACGAGAACTGAGCATTTTGTTTAATAAAGATGCACGCTGCAATAGCTTTATATTTTCAGTGGGCAGCCGTGCCAAACTTGTATATGAACTCAGATAGGAAACATGGCACTCTATTACCCTGTAATTGGCCTTACCTACTTCACTTGTGATACAAGATTGTCAGTACAAATAAAGTGCTTCTGGTATAAAGCAGTGGCTAACAAATGCAGCTGTTTCTGTCCTTGAAGGTAATGATCTCCTCTGAACTTTGAACTGATGACTTTTAATCTTATCTTTAGCTACTCTTAACAGCTAGCTCTGCAGTAGCTATCGAAAACACACAGCTGTAACAGAAAACTAGTAACTTCTGTTTATGTGGTGTTAACATGTGTACCTCCTGTTTGATAATAAACATTGACCTGTCTCTCCACAGGTAAGCAAAGCTTCGTTTTGGAGTCAAACTCAGCTCCCTTGTTCTGGGAAAAATATTTGCCTTTGCCAATTATTTTCATCAACTACACAGCAGTTAACAACCACAGCAAAGAACTGACTTCTTTATAATTCACAAAGGACAATGAGAAGAAAGAGGGAATTCATGAATCATTCTTTTACGGCAGGCAATAAAAGTCACCAAAGGAGATATTCAAGAGCTAGAGTTAGGGTCCTAAATCCACATTTATGCTTTGTATGTTTGTTGAAAATACCTACTTCAGAAGCTTTTATATTTACGTAATGCTTAAACTTAAATGCTTAAATTTTAAAATTTTGATATGACTTGAGCTATATGAGCTAAGAAAAAAGTTAGATGCATTTTTTTTAATACAAGAAAACATATAGAAACTATTTATTTCAAATGTTTAGTCCAACTTGTTACTTAAACCATACACTCGCTAGTGTGTTCCTCTCCCCCTCAGCTCTCAGAACTCCCTTTCATTAACTAGCCTGAAATGCTGGTTTTCAATTCCATCTTCCTGCTCTACTTCCTCAATTTGGCTTGCGTATTTCTCTGCATAAAAGTTAAGCTCCCTCTCTCTTTCAAAACAGTCTAAGATTTAGCTTTCAATTACTCCTGTTTCCTTCCAAGAAGCTTGCAAAGCAATCACTGGAGAATTATAAAGCTAGTCCCAAATCTCCCAGAATAAAAACAGAAGGCTTATCTGACAGGAATTTATTCCTCATTTTTGTTTCCCTTTCTTTTCAAAGACATCTTTTCTATCCTAAAAGAACTCTGTCCTATTTTAAAACAAAACTAAGCTGCTTCCATCACCCAGTTTCATGGGTGCCGAAGGGAGCAGGAAACCCAAGAGACTTGTTTTTTTCCTACCCTCTATTTCTCCAGTCCCCTGTTCTCCCAAACTATTACTTGTAGTACTTTTTTGCTTCCACTCCACTTACAATTTTCTCTAGAAGTTTCCCACAGCCATTTATATTAGTTCAGCTCTCACAGTAAGGCTGACGGCAATGCTCACACAGCCAGCATCAGGCAACTGTTGCTTAAAAGGAAAACCAAACCAACAGCACCAGCTAGTACTGGAACATCAGCTGCCATCCACCCAATTACATGGGCTGAACTGGCAGAAGCAACTGCAGGAAACATTAGGAGGAAATTGTTCAAAGAAGGGGGCAGGCTCTGACACACTATGAAAGAGCTGGGGCTTCTCTCCCACCTTCAACATCACCTTCCTTATTTCCCTAGATATCTGAGGCAGACTGGCAAGTCTTACTCAAGTAATACATCAAATATACAGCCAAGGTGTTAGACTGTATGATGCAGTCTTCAGTTTTAACCATTCGATCATCCTTTAAAAAAAAAAAAATATATATATATATATAATAAAATATATATCTAAGCTAGCTACAAGACATCTGAAGTCAGGCGTGAGGGACCATGGCAGTTTGATCACTGCTTGTCTTCACCTGTCTGTAACAGAGTCTATTCCAAATCTGTCCTGAACTGGTCCTTCCACCTCTGAACCTTGAGCCCAACTTTCCTCTAAATCGTCTCTCATACGCTGCTCTGAGGCAAGTCCTACACCGTGTAGCAAAACCAGAATCCAAGGCAGATTACAGCACACACATCACAAAGGGCGGGGGGGAAGACAGACCATCCATGGCAGCTTTCAGTGGCCACTACTGAATTGGGCACTAGAAAATCCAATACATTTTCTACCATAACTGTTGCCTGGAAGCACCTACCTGCCCAATAATCAGCAGTTACGATTAAGTTAAATACTGGACTGAGGACCAGATCTTAAACCACAGCAGAACTGTGCAAGTCAGCACATGATTTTGTTCTTATTATTCTTAAAGGGCCTGGCATTTTAAGTGAAGTCCAGGCTGAAAGCATTTTTTTCATGATGTTTCTTTTATGGACAATTTTATTGGCATGAAAATGTAATTACAGTGATGATGATGAATTAGGAAACCCCAAAAGAAAAATGAGGCCCTCATATAGTGCGTTTGGAATTTCCTAATTAGAAAATCTTTGCAGTTCATTCTTCCTGTCAGTCAGCGTAATACATCTGTATTTCACACAGCCCACAAACACATTAAATAATCAACAGTAATTCTGTAGAGGTACTATGTCTTTTGGGTTTCAGCTCTCTTAATAATTTACCTCTATTGTATAGTTTAAATAAATAACTTGTCATAAATAGCAGGAAATTAAAAGTACAACTTTTACTGTTATTATTTGCCCAGTATCATGAATGCTACTGAAGGAGACAGCAAAGATTTTTATTTTGTGGCAATTTTATAATTTTGATGCTGCAAAGCTCCAAACCTACAGAACCTACAGAGAGAAACTTTTTTATAAAGAGGGTAAGGATACAAGACATCCACAGGTAGTTTGAGACTCCGTAGTTTTTGGCACCACAATTATACTACTTAGTTTATCAACCTACTGCAGAAAACAAACTCCAAAATACATTTAAACTCAGTAACACGTTTTAGAGTACAAAATCCTACTAAGGCAGGGGGTGGGGTGTTAGCTATTGAATACTGTAATATTTATGTTAACTTTAGAAACAAAGAACCAGTTGAAATACACATTTTTCTCTTATGATACATGTCAGAACTTTCTTCTTGAATAGCCTTCAAAAAGGCTACTGAAACACCACTACTTGTTCGATTACACAACTCAACAGCTGTCTAGAAATTAAACATCAGCATGTACAAGGTGAGATACTAGCAGGTTCTATATTGGTTTCATTGAGCTTTTAAAAAAAAAAATAATCAGAACTACAATACTGTTACAACAAAGTTTTTTGCAAAACTTTGTAACAGTGAAATACAAAGTTACTGAACAACACCTCCTGTGTTTAAAGAAAAGACAAGGAAGTAGGTGTGACCTACTTCAGTGAAGATAATAAATTTACTTGTTAGAAGCACCCTAAAAGTCACCGTCTTCCTTCTCCTGTCTGCAAACACAGGAGTTCATTAAGATCCAGTGCACTCAACTTCTTGTGCAGAATTAAAACCAGGTCTGGTTCCGTTGGACATCTATCAGATACATGATCGAAAGAGAACCTCAGTATCCCCTAAGTTTGATCAAACCTCTAAATGGAATCTGAAAGCAGGATTCAAAATGTTTGAAAAGGTTC